GTGTGTGTGTGTGTGTGTGAGAGTGAGAGTGTGTGTGAGTGAGTGAGAGTGTAAGAGTGTGTGTGTGTGTGAGAGAGAGTGAGCGTGTATGTGAGAGAGAGAGAGAGTGTGTGTGTATGAGAGCGAGTGAGAGTGTGTGTGTGAGTGAGAGTGTGTGTGTGTGTGTATGAGAGCGAGTGAGAGTGTGTGTGTGTGTGTGTGAGAGAGAGTGAGAGTGTGTGTGTGTGTGTGTGTGTGTGTGTGTGTGTGTGTGAGAGTGTGTGTGTGTGTGTGTGTGAGAGAGAGAGAGAGAGTGAGAGTGTGTTATAAACAAATATAAGTGTATAAATATAAATTAATTTATTTATTATAAAGCAATTCATATTAATTTGTTAATTTATTGTATTAATTTGTATATAAATAAATTCACTTGATAAATTAATATATGTATTCATTAATTTATGTATTTATGCATTTTAATCATGCATGAGCTTTGTTTCTGAGGAGCTTGAAACTTAAGTAGGTTTATTTCCAGGTTTAGTTACATTTTTTATAATATGAATTAATTGAAATTATACAAGTCAATTTATCTATTTATTTATTTATTATTAATATAAATTCATATGAATTTGTTTATTTTAATTTTAATGTATTTTTATATAATATAAATGACATAAAATAATTAGAAATATTATTTTAAAACTACAATAAAATATAATACAACTAAAATATCCCTCAGGCACATTATATATTTTTTTTCTTCATCTTTTTTCATTTAAACCTCGAAATAAACAAAGTGTTAGTATTTTGCAACATTTTAAAGAAAAGTTAAGTAAATAAATAAATAAACTCAGCGTTTATTGCACTTAAAGTTAACGTAAAGTTGACGTAGGTGTCCACATTTGGTATTTTTGGCTTGTTAATTTCACAGTTAACTAGTTTTATTCCAGTCCTCCGGATTGGTTGATGCACGCGTGCTCTGGAGGCGTCGCGTCGCGTCGCGTTCGTTCAGCGGCGCGTCTCGCTGAGTCTGTCCGTTTCTCCGGGGATTCTGCGCCGGTGTGACGGTCATGGGCTCCCGGGACCGGACTCTGTGTCTGCTGACCGCTGCTCTCCTCATCCACGGTACGGTTTCATTCATGATCTCTGTCCCTCGCGGTGATGGATCTGGTGTATTCTGTTCGGTTATCACGACTAGTTTTACATTGTGTTGTTGGTCTGTTGTCTTGGCTGTATTCTTATATTTTGTGTCATGTTATTGTATCGTGTACTATGGCAGTACAATGGTACATTAATAGGAGCCTGTCATTAAAATAACCATTCATTAGTTTACCATGGTATGAACGTGGTACTTCAAATAATAGCCAGCTGTGGTAGCGCTATCAGTGTAAATCACACACAGTGAGATCTATCTATCTGTCTATCTATCTATGCATTTTGTTTCTAAAGAGCTTTAAACTTATAAGTACTAGGTTTATTTCCAAGTTTATTTTCTCTTTACAAAAAAAAGAAAGAAAGTAAATAAATATTAATTAATTTATTTATTCATACAACTAAATTGATTTAATATAAATAAATATTCACATATCACTTCGTTTATTTATTTATTTTAATGGGGTGTGTTTAGTTTCTGAGGAGTTTGAATAGGTTTATTTCCAAATGTATTTTCTCTTTGCAAAATAAATAAATATAAATTAATTTATGTAAATACATTATATATATGTGTGTGTGTGTGTGTGTGTGTGTGTGTGTGTAAAGTTACAACTAAATTAAAATGGAAAATTATTCATTGAAAATTATTATTTATTATTTATAAAATTATTATTAATATTTATGCACTATTCAATTATTTAGTGGGTGTGGGTTTTGTTTGAGTAGCATGAAACTTAATAAGGTAGGTTTATTTCCAGGTTTATCTTCTCTTTTGCAGAATAAATCAATAAAATGATCAAATATGAATAACTTAATTATTTATATAAATACATTTATTTGATATTAATTAATATATTTGTTTATTTGTTTATTTTAATCATTTTAATGTTTTGTTTCTGAGGAGCTTGAAACTTAAGTAGGTTTATTTCCAGGTTTATTTTCCTCTTTTAATTTCTAAAATATAATAAAATAAAATAACAAATGCATATATAATAATAAACCCATACATATAAATATAAATAAGTTCTTATTTATTTATTTACTTGCGAGTTTTAATTCTTGTGACAGAAATCCTACAGTAACAGTTGGTTTGAGAAACAGATGGATGTGAACCTAAAGATGCACGAAACACTCTCTTAAGTGTCCTTTAACTTTCTTTTGCTCTAAAATACCATTGATTTCTCAAACCAGAGGGTGTGAGGGTGTGATTACAGTCGCTGTTCTGCGCTCTTGACCGAGATCTGAGCTCACGGATCCTCCAGCGTTTCAGACCGGTTGAATATTACAGCATGTTCACTCTGGAGGAAAGCACTGATTGATTTTGCGTATGAATCCTGATAAGTGTGTGGGGGTCAGACGGGCTCCTCGGGGAGCCGTCAGTGTAACTGAACCTTCTCCT